GACACGAACAGGACCATCCTCAGTGCAGTACAGACTCCAGGACTGATTTTTCTCTCCAAACTCACAGTCAGCACTGTGTCCTTTCCTTCTGATTCTTCTGTAACTCACTGATATATAAACGTCTCCTCTCCACTCGACCTCCCAGTAACAGCGACCAGTCAGACCAATTCTACACAGCAGCTGAGAATAGATATTAAATCTGTCTGGATGATCAGGATATGACTGATATCCTTCACGTGTCACCTTCCTGTTGTTGTCGGACATTTTGAGTTTTCTGCCTATGGTGTTTGTGTCGATTGTGAGTTGACAGGAATGTGATGGAGAGAACAAACACTGTACAGTACTGTGTTTATAGTAACCATTGTCCATTGTCCAAATGTAAATATGTAAGAAAAATTGTGTATGTTTCTGTTCTGTGTCCTGTGTACTGTTTGTTTGTATATGTGTCTTTCCCCCTGCTGTTACAACCAAATTTCCCCTTGTGGGACAATTAAAGGATTATTCTATTCTATTCTATTCTATTCTATTCTAACACAATTCAGCTGCAGTTATTGATCCATCGTCTGATCATTGATTGACACTTTGATGATGACTCCTGACATCAGAGATGTGAATGATGAAGATGGTTGAATGTGTGCTGCTTTGTTTTCATGAATCCCATTAAAAAAACACTTACACTTCCTCAGACCTGGTCTCAACCATTGGACTCCAGCAGGCTCCACCCTGAAAGGAGGAGGGGGGGTCAGACCAGCACAGTCTCTTTCAGCATGCACACATGGACATTGCATGGCTCTCATACACATACTGTTTTACATTGATAAAGGAACAGTCCAAGAGTTTCACAAATACACTTCAATCCATACGTGGATCAAACTGCTGATGATTTGGACTGATCCTGGATCTGTCAGTACACCACTGTATTGAATGAAATTGATTGATTCAAACTGTGACCTTCATTATTTTTATATTCCTCTTCTGTTTAGCTGGAAAGGACACCTCCCTGCCTTTGCTCTCATTCATGACCTTTACTATAAAAAACTGTTAATGAGAGAACGGCATCAAGTCAGTCCAACTTCTGACTAAAATAAGCACCAGAGTGTTTTTTTAATCAGTTTCAGCTGCATAGTGTTAATGAAATACAAAAGTTGGTTGTCATTAATGGTGGTAGGAGTGTAGTAGTAATAATAATGATACTAATTAGTGTTGGATATAATGCATTTCAAAGTAACACAGTACTGTCATCACATAACCTTTGTCAGTGACATTAGAATAGGATCAATTAGAAAAGCTCTTTACTGAGATTGTACATGTAAAACTAAATGATGGGTGAGCTCACTCCAAGCGTGCAGGAATCAAATATAAATAGTAGACCGCAGGCATAAACACCAAACTGGACAAATATATAGCACACATTGGGAATCAGTAATGTAACATGTAACTGTAGTCAATGCTGTAATTACATTACAGTTGTCTTGACGCAGCGTGGATAGAAAAGAAAAATCAAAAACAGGCACTTTCCTTCCTTCACACTGAGCTACAATCAGTTTTTTTTAGTTCGTGTCCCTCAGGAGGAAAATGCTGCAGTGGTTTATAGTGGAGATATACATTTGATTTTTAATGCACAAAAGTGTGATAATGAAATACACACCACATCCAGGACACAAACAACTGCATTATGCTGCTAACACAACTTTGGCTCTTTGCAACCATGTGCACAGATGGCATGCTAACACAAAGTGACAAAGCCAGAATCCAGAGCAATGTTATAGCTGTGTAGATGCTGACTAGAGTCCAGAAACCCAAGGCTGATTTTTAAACGGACAACAAAGGCAGTGATGAGCAGTCAGGCTTGGAGAATCCATTTCTACCTGCTCACTTTTCTGCAGTAGAATCACTGTGAAGTCTTTGTGCTGCTTTGCGTTGTTGCTTTTGTGTCCATACACAAAAACTATCATTAGGACAGATTTATGTGTTAGAAAAAAAGGAAGTTACCAGAAACCTTTTTTTTTTAAATTTAGTAGAACTTGAAATTTTTATCAGTGAGTAAACAATTAGTATTGTGCCCTCAGAAACATCATGTTATTCTTAGTACTGTATACTTGTAATGAATAAGTTGTCCTAACACAGATATCTTAAGTAAGCTTTACTTCGTTTCTTTTTTAGGGAACGAGTTTGAATCATTTTTTTAAGTTTGGGGAACTAATTGGATTTTACAGTGAAGTGGTTCAGTTAATTCATTTATTTGGCAAATAATTAAGTAATGATTTTAAGAAAAAGGACAATTACTGTGTAATCCATGACTCTTTTGTGTAATGATCCCAACACTGGTAATGATAATAACTTATTGTTGTTTTTCTCTCATTTATTATTTTAATTCTCTCTTTTTCCTCCGCCCAAATGTGTTAATCCTGGCTTTATGCAGCCGCATTTAAACCTCTCAGATTTTCTTTACCACCTCTGTTTTGGCAGGTTTTTGTCTTTAAGTAACTTTCCATGTTCATGGGATGTCCTACTCTACTCTGTATGCTGGATTTTTCAAAAATAAAGTTCAAAAAGAGGCAAAAACAGAAACATGGATTCTTTGTCTCAAACAGACTTGAGGCTATAATTGCTGCCAATGTTGCTTCAACAAATTACAGAGCCACAACTGTAAATACTTGTGTGATATTATCTATCTATATATTATATTATCTATATTATATTATGTATACAGGGAGTGCAGAATTATTAGGCAAATGAGTATTTTGTCCACATCATCCTCTTCATGCATGTTGTCTTACTCCAAGCTGTA